ACTTACCCTTATAATTAATGGGTGACACACAAAGCTGACTGGCCTACATACATTACTTCAACAAATGATATTGTATATTTACCCTTCATTCTTTTAACAGCATTTAAATCATGAGCAGATAGACTCCAGAAAACTAATTACTTAAAATAAGATTATTTCTCCAGAGATGTATTATATATTCCAGCTAATATAATAGATATCTTCTTAATTTCCTCTCCCAAAATATTTTTAGAAAGACATTTATTGCCTGTTGTATTCATAATCAAGGAACTGTAATAGGAAAGTGGCATAATTCTTCACTTTTAAAAATGTACAAAGAAAAAAACACCCATAACAACTGATACAATAGATGATGATATATTTTTAAAATGGGGATAATGAAAATGATGTCAAGTATAACAGTGAACCTTGAAAATGGGGGCAAAATTATCATAATTCTCAGCAATATGAGAATAGAAATAACATACTGAGAATAGACATTGAGAAATGGACAAAGGAAAACCAGGTAGCTACTCCAGAAGTCAAAATAATTCCCCAAACTACAGCCCTGCTTGCTAAAGATGGACTCCATATTTTGAGAAATATGTAAGAGAATAAGAGAATTCCTCACCTAAATTTGAAAAAAAACCAACCACAATGTAGTAACATTTTTAAAATCTATTTTATTTTCACCATTGTTGTTGCATAGGCTCTCTCAAAACTTTATTGTCCTTCATATATTCCTATGAGCCATGACCTCCTTGAATTTAGAGTACAGAAGGCTATATCCCCTGTGTAGAAATAATAATGCCTAGGATAAATAATGCCTAGCTTGCCATAGGCAAGTCAGACACAGATTTTTTTTTAAGAACTTCTCCATCCTTTTGCTGTGGTTGATATTAACATGAACATTAAGTTCAATCACAAGAAAATACATGAAAGTCAAAGTCCTCCAATTAAAAAAAAATCTACACTGAGTTGAAATTAAAAAAAAAAACAGAACTGTCAAAATCATTCTGACAAGACACTTTGACATCTATTGTACCACCAGGTGATATCTTTTCTGGAGAAGGAAATATGATTTTTTTTTCAATGGTTATTACCATGAGATGACAATCAAATCAGGAGCATTTATTCTTGGAAAAGTGCATGGTACTCTGGAAAGTATATGTAGAGTCATTCACCCAAAGGAAAGCAGAAAAGAAGCAAAGACTACTGTATGCCACAGCCCTTTTCACAACAATAAATACACACCACTGTCTCATTATCATTTCTCCAAATGGCATTCCGTTTAATGGGATGAACGTACTCAAGGAGACAAATGTTTAAGAAGTATCGCATGGTGATATCTCCAGAGTCTACTGTAGAAATTAATGTTATTATACTTAACATTTGGCACCATAATTCTAGAAAATATATCATGTTCTGTGGCAGTCGTTTCATACTAATACTATGTACACATTTGCTCTATTCGGCATCTGACTTCCTGTTGAAAAGTCAATGGCCTGCTATCTCTCCCCCCTCCCAGCTCTACCTTCATTCCGTAAGAAACTTCACCTCTTTGCTACCTTCTCTCTCAGGTGCCTCCAGACTCTGCCCCAGTTTGCTATCATTCTTTTGAGCTATAGCTGGAACTTGTACTCTCTGGTATTCTTATTTCAAATCAACTCAGTCTCTTTTGTGACGTTTCAAATCAAATTGGTTCTTTTAATGTGAAATTCTTCTCGCCTTCCTTGTCCACTTTTTTTGTGTGTGTCATCAGACATGACACTTCCTAAACACCCAAATCTCTGTTTCCCAAGTGCTCTCACTAGGTAGAAGACACATTGTCTTTCCTAGTTTCTAATTTTCCCATGGAAGTCAGTGAGTTCAAGCATCTTGCTGGCCAGAAGTAGTTCTCATTTATACCCCACTCAGTAGGATAAAAAGAACAGACTCCCTGAATGTGTCACATTGAGGAAGTTACTTAACTTCTCTAAGCCTTAATGTCTTCAGTTTCTCTAGGCTTCACTAATTTGTGCTTATAGGTGGAGAAATGTTAATTATAGTTAAGAAAATTTGGTATAAATCCTCTTCTATCTGCTTGTATAGGTCATTGATGCATCCACTAAATCAGTATAAAATCCTCAGGATAAGTTTTGTGTACACTCACGGGTGAGAATGCTCTCCTTGACACTGCCAATGATATACCGGGCTCTGCTTCAATTTGTTGCTTGGCCAGGCACCACCTATCAGTACATCTCATACTTTAAGATAGGGAGTGGGTTATAATGCAGATCTGTGGTTTTGCTTTTCTAAACATCTCATGGGTATAGCTGACTGACACTGTTGGACCATGGGCAAAATCAGAGCAGCGTGAACCTCAACTTTTCCTTCTGATGTCTGTGACTCTATCATCATCACCCTCAGCTTTCTCAATGATGAATATTCTTGTGATCTTTGTCAAAGCAGTTCAAGAAGTCCTCTTCTCCTGTCACATCACTCATTTTCCTGTGGTGTACAGAATATACTGCAGTGGGCTTTCTCTCTGACCATAGATCACTCATAGTGAACTCATGCAAGTGATCTGGGGGTAGGTTCCATCTACCAAATCAGAAACTTCTATTTAGTAATTAATGGTTTGTGATGAACCTTGCACATCTGGAATCTTTGATTTGAGACCTCTGTTCTCCAAGGAATTTTTAACCTTCTACAGAAATTATATTTTACAGGATTTGCCTAACAATTTCATGACAAAAAAAAAATGCTTCCTTAATGGAGGTAAAATTATGGAGGGAGAATTAGAATCAAACATTTGTTTACCTTTTTATTTTACATTAGTTAGGAGCAAAGTTTTCCTATTTAATAGGGTATTGGCAGGCAGACTTACACACTGGTTGTCAAATCAACTTTATCATGGCCATCATATTCACAAGTATCAAGGGCAAGAGAAGTCAACCACCTTGTATTCTAGTCCCAACTGTTATCTGAGAGATGTGCTACTGGGAGAGAAAACTACCCTACTGATTATAAGCCTACTCATCTAAAAATAATGACATGAGACTATATTAGCTCTAAGTTCCTTCCCAACACTACCATTATATGATATTATAACTATATTACTCTTTTCAAATCCTCAAAACTGGGATTGATTCTCTCCATCCTTGACTAGTTCACAAATTAGTTTGAATGTTTTCCCCCGTAAACTCTTATTTTAAAATACTTTTTATTTTATTTATTTATTTTTATGTGGTAGAATTTTTATGTGTAACAGTGCCTCACATGTGCTAGGAAAGTGCTCTACCACTGAGCTACAACCCCAGGCCTTCCCCCATGAACTCTTTTTTTTTAATTTTTAAAATTTTGTTGTTGTTGTTGTTGTTGTTGAAGATGGACCTTTATTTTATTTATTTATATGTGGCACTGAGAATCAAACCCAGTGGCTCACACATGACAGGCAAGTGCTCTACCACTGAGCTACAACCCCAGCCACCCACCCCATAAACTGTTGCAGACATCTATACTAACTCTAACAGTCACATTGTGGAACATCATAGCAGCTTGTTTTAAAGAACCCTTTCTTCTTCAAGACATTTATAAACATTTATTATCACATTACTCTACATCATTCAATTATGCTTCATATACCCATACCTTGTAACTGGTCATCATATCATATTCTAATTCTAAAATTTCAAACCTCTTCTCACCCTCAGACCTTACCAAGTAGCATATTTTCCTGTTTAGATTAAGCAAATACTTCAAATAAAGGCTTTCTCATTCAGTTGACTCATTTATTCCTTTTAGCTACAGGTGTTTCCTCTAACATGGATGGGCAGTCCTTTCTGTGCAATCTTTATGGTCTCTTCATAATTATGTTCTTTGACACTATCAACAATGATCAGCAGTTCCCCTTTACACACCATTTTCCCCATTACCTTTCCTGGCCTACAGAGCATAGCTGGAGATAGTATCAATGTCATGTATCTAACCCACCACAAATTTTTGTTTTTGGTAGCCAATACAGCCATAATATATAAGCAGATCACTTTCTGATCAAGGGTCTCATGTGTTTCATGAGTATAATGAAACACAATAGTATAATTCCTCTAATTTCCATAGTATTCTCTGTAGAAATGCACATGGCAATACTTCCTTTTTGGGGAGGGTACCCGGGATTGAACTCAGGGGCACTCAACCACTGAGCCACATCCCCAGCCCAATTTTGTATTTTATTAGATGCAGGGTCTCACTGAGTTTCTTGGCAGCCTCCCCATTGCTGAGGCTGGCTTTGAATTCAAGATCATCCTGTCTCAGCCTCCTGAGCTGCTGGGATTACAGGCGTGTGCCACTACACCTAGGTAATGGCAATGCTTTTTAAACAGGCATGGTCTGAATTTGAAGTAATATCCATGAACTTTGGGCTAAAATAATTTAAACCAGGATCTCCACATTTCTTTAAAACTTCTTTAGTAATACCTTCCTGATTCCTTTTTTCCTGAGCTGTAAATCCTCTATTCTTTTTATCATTCTTAATAGATATTCTTCCTCATATTTTACTAAGATGAAGAGCCCTCTCATGCAATTTCCTCCATCAGTTTTTGTTTTTTTCCTGGAAAGAGACAATAATGTGTCTCTTTTTCTTTTAATGGTTTATTCCCAACTCTAATCTCTAATGTTCTTTTTTTTTTCATTCAGTGCTTACTGAATGAAAAAAAAAAAAGCTCCTCTTTCAATTTCATTCCTAACTGTACCTCCATATACAGTACATGTCACTTCCTGATTAGTGTCTGATGTCGATTCAATAATCTGTTCCTTGCAACACTCCTCCATGAAGGACAAATGTCACATAAACAGATCAAGAAAGGCACTCATGAAGCCTGTGGAGTTTGACATTAACTATGACCAAAGACAGCTGGAGATGAAAGAGCTGGTCCACATCCTGGAACTTCCTAAACTCATAAGTTTTATTAACCTTTTTAAAGATAACTCAAAGTCTTCCTCAAATAGCCTTATCTTCATGAACAGCAGAATTTCCTCACCAAAATGCTTCTTTTTACTTGTTGCTGTATTGCTCACTCATGTTTGTCACAGGAAGTGGTATTCTTATCTTGATGATGAGCAAGGACTCAGATAGATACTTGAGCTGATCAACATTCAGCAAAATCTTTGCTCTGCTTGTTTCACAAGACTAAGCTCCAGCTTCTGAGTGGTCCCCACAGCAGCAGCAGCCACAATTCATCATCTAGAAGCTTATTTGAAAAAAGGAAATTCATATCCTCTTCCCAGTAGGTCAGAATCTTCATTTTAACAAAACAAACAAACAAACAAAACAGCAAAACAGTTAATTTCTCTGTACATTAATGTCTGAGAAACCCTGACCAAGTTCTCATTTCCGCAATGGCAAAAATTAAAAAAAATAAAAATAAAAAGTTCTGTAATTCTGTCATCTACTTTTTTTTATTGTCTTTTCTCCAACTGACCTCAGTTTAGAATGTCATACATTTACTGGCTTGTCTAATTACATTTCTACAAACCAACTTTAATTGTATTATGGGTTGGATCTAAAATGTACTCCAAAGTCTTATATGTTCAGAGATGAGGCTTTGGGGAAGAGATTGTATCATGAGGACTTTAATCATAAGTAAGTCAATACATTGATGACTGAATGGTTTACTGGGAGGAGGGGCCTACATGTAAATAGTACGTACTGGGAATGTTCCAAAGAAAGATCTCTCTCTGCTTCCCCACTGCTATGAGCTTTCCTTCACAACACTCTTCTGCCTTGATGCTGTGCCACGCTTCTGGCCCAGAGCAATAGAGTCAGCTAACCTTGTGTGGAAATTTCTGAAACTGTGAGTCAAAATAAACTTTTCTTACTCTAATTTGTGTGTGTATGTGTGTGTGTGCGTGTGTGTGTTGAAGTATTTTGGTCAAAGCAAGGAAAAGCTGATTAACATAGATTTGCCTTTCCTTCTCTGATGTAATTGATTCTCTGATCAATACTGCCCACTCAATTTCTGAACTGTTGCAGTCAGCAAATTTTCTTTTCACTCATTCATACATCAGTCCTATATAGATAATTATCATACATCTATTATTCATTGCCAATTATCTGCATATTTATAATTTTTAGACAGTAAAACCAGCTAAAATTAGAAATAGAAGCAGATTTGAGATTATTGATTCAACTCCCTTAGGTGGTGCTTCGCACAAGACATTCTTTTAATGAGTATTTACTGAATAAATTTTAAAAAGATGCAAAGATGAAATTGATTCATAAAGAATTAATGATGATCTCTCAATCAAAGAAAAAAATCCAGCATCTGTATTCCTCCCCAGTTTTTATTCTTATCTAGTTTATTTCTTATTCTCTCCCATGTGCCTATGGCACTAGATCTCAATCTCCACTGCACAAGAGAACCACCTGGGGACCTTTGAGCATACCAATGTCTCCGTCTCAAACCCACAAACTCCAATTTGATGTAGGGTATGACCCAGGCATTTGGGTTTCTAAAGGCCCCCAGATGATACTAAGATGAAGACAAGGTTGAAAACCACTGCCCCATATGGCAATCAAATTCAATGTGGAGAAAAATCACTTGGCATGCTTTAAAATGCAAAATTAGATATAATTTTGAATTTCCACAACTCTTGCAAATTCCTAGAAGAAGCAAGCTAATGTTGCTAGACTTAGTTACGCTTTAGTAGGAAGACAAAAGTTGAATATATGGATGTAAAGAGTCCTTCCCACCCCAAAGAAACTAGTAATGTTATATTTATATCAGTGAAGGTATACTTGAAGACAAAAATCCTTAATAGAGAGGAAGACTGAATAATAATGAATCAATCACATAGGAGACGTGAAAATTGTCTAAATTTAAAAAAGCATTTAAGCAAAAATTGACAACTCAAAAGAGAAAGACAAGTGTGTATGATCATGGAGACACAATTTAACATATCTCACAGTAATTATAAGCTAATTAAAATTAATAAAAAGACTTACTCTGACAGAATTTTTTTAATATTGACTTCTTAAAGCAAAACTAACAAATTATTTTTTTAAAAGCAAGTAATAGAGACATTAAAAAGAAAAAAAATAGACTTTTTAAAAATATCAATGCAATTGTTGCACTCCTAGCAAAAGTCAAAACAACAAAAACTTCTTACAGAGGAAACTCTTTGCCCAAATTGTCTCAAATGTGAAGAGCAAATACATTTATAAGGAAGAAATAGTACAATGATTACTAAATATTGAAAGATACACTTATAAATTATCTTAACTCTGATACCAAATCTTGAGTAGTACTAAAATCAAAATTAGAGACTAACACTTAAAATATTCAAAATTTGAACAAAATATTAAGTTGAATCTCACAATATGACTGTTTGGGATTTACTTCAGGAATGTGAGATAGACATATCATTAAAAATCAAATACTGATTAAAAATTGACAAAAGGATCTGAATAGGCACTTCTCAAAAGACATACAACTGTCCAATGGGTTCATGAAAAAATGCTCAGAATCACAAATCCTTAGAGTAATGCAAAGTAATCCAAGGAGATATCGATTCAAAACTGCTACAATGGCTTTTATAAAAAAGATTAAAGATAACAAGTGCTGGTGAGGAAGGATGTGGAGAAATGGAACATCTACACTGTTGGTTAGAATGTAAACTGATACAACCATTTTTTTGGAAAAAAATTATGGAAAATAGCATGGAGGTTTCAAGAAAATTAAAAATTGAATTATCATAGGATCCAGCAATCCCTCCTCTGTGTGTATAACAAAAAGAAATGAAATCACCAGCTAGCAAAGATATCTTTACTCTCAGATTCATTCCAGAACCATTAACAATAGCTAAGACGTGAAAAATCCCCCTTTGACACATGAATGTATAAAGAAAATGTGGAATACATACACACATTCATACATAATGGAATAACAGTCAGCCTTAAAAATAATTAAATTCTGTCATCTGAGAAAACATAAATAATTCTAAAGAATATTATGCCACATGAAATAAGCCAGGCACAGAAAGACAAATAAATAACATATAATTACACTCATGTGAAAATCTAGTTGAATTCATAGAAGTAAAGAGTATAATGATTTCCAAAGCCCAGGGACAGAGAAAGGGAAGAGAGAGGGAATGGGGATTTACAGATAGATGGAATGAATAAGTTGTGACATCTATTGCATAACAATGGTCATCATTAATGCATTATACACATCATAATAATTAAGAAACTAAATTTCAAACATATCAGCACAAAAAAATCAACTAGAAGAAAAGAGCTTTCTCAAAACAAAGAAAACAAAATGTTAGTTACCAAGTGTTGAAATATCACACTCTATACCATCAATAATATTACATATTAATAAAAAAATCAGGAAAAGTGCTTATCTGAAATAAAAAAGGACAATGTACTAATGATCTTTTAAAATGTCAAGGAAGTGAGATGACAGATATTCTAACCACCTTGAATGAATCCCTCCTCATCATGTACATGTATCAGAATATCATACTATACAAATATAAGTATGATTTTTCAAATCAACATAATATAAATTGAACAATTTCTATGTTTTGACATATTAATGACACAAGGAAAATAATACAATCATCTGCAGAAAAATATTTAATAAAGTCCAACCTCAAACATGATAAAACCTCTTAGCAACTAGTATTTCAAAAAAAGAAAGAAAGAAACAAGGTCTCAGTATGATAAAGGACACTGAAATGATCTACAAGCCATAAAGGCTTAGCCTTTAACTTAGTAGAAAAGTGCTAACCTTGGGCTCTGGGGATATGGGAAAAAAAAAAAAAAAACAAGAATGTCTGTTCTTTCTTCTAATTAGCACTATAATGGAAGGCTAAGCAAGAACAATGAGGCAAGACACAGAAAATTATAGAGATCAGAAAAGAAGGAAATAAAGTTATTATTCTCAGAAGACATTATGTTGGACATGAAATAAAACATTTTTATAGGATCTTCCAAAGGAGAAAAATAAATTTGCAGCATGAAATGTTAATATCAAAAAATTAATAACATTTCTATGTTATTTCAAATAACAATTGAAAGATGAAATTTAAATATATAATTCCAGTAACAGCAAAAATGAAAGGAATATGATGCCTCAGATGACATCTAATAAAATATATGAAGACCATTAAACTCAAAAGTTCAAATTATTGTTGAAAGATACTAAAATATACCTAAATAAAAATATATAGTATATATTTTTGAGTTTATAGAGTATATTGAGGTAAACTACTTAACAATTAAAGGCTCCATGAGGAAAGGAAATAGAAGGCTCCATATTTTTAAGTGTATTTTCTCCTAGCAAAGTATATTTTCTCTATAATGCCAATCAAAATTCTAAAATGTTTATTAAGTGTTGTTATAGTTTGGATACATAGTGTCCCCCAAAAGCTCATGTAACTCAATGCAAAAAGTTTAGAGGTGAAAAGACTAAATTATGACATCCTTAACTTAATCTATGCATTAATTCACTTGAATGAATTAACCAGGTGGTGACTTTGGGCAGGTAGGGCAAGAGTGCAGGAGGTAAGTTACTGGGGGTGTGCCCTTGGGATACAGAGTTGGTCTCTGCTCTGTTTCATTGTGTCATATCCTGAGCTGCTTTATTCCTCCATACCCTTCTGCCATGTTGTTCTGCCTCATCTTGGGCCCAGAGCAATGAAGTTGGCCCTCTATGGACTAAAATTTCTGAAACTATGATCTCTAAATAAAGTTTTTATTTTTTATGTTGTTCTTGTTAAGTATTTTGGTCCCAGAAATGATAGCTGACTAAAACAATTGTTTAACTGATTTTTTAATAAATTACATGGAAATATAATTGATCTTAAAAAGTCAAAATATCTTTGAAATTTATCTAAATATTAAATATTCAAAACACTACTTGGTATGGAGGCATACTCTAAAATTAATTCATCAAGATTATTTTAATTTTGCCTAAGAATTGGCAAAAGATATCAGTGTACTTGGCAGAAGTGTCACTCGAGTATAGGAGTTTGAGACCAGCCTGAACTACATAGCAATAACCCAATCTCAAAGAGAGAAAAAAATAATACATAAAAGAAAGAAAAATAAAAAAGTAAAATAAGAGAAAAAAATGAAGTCTAGAAATAGACACATACACATATAGCTAATTGGTTTTCAACAAAGGTTCCAAACTATTGAATGTAGAAAGGAAATTAGTATTGACATATATTGCTGGTTCAAGTGGATAACTGTATGGAAAAAATGGTTAATTTTAAGTGGTAAATGACTCATACACAAAAGCTTATTTTATTTGGATCATTAGAACTAAATATAAAAGCTACAACCATAATGATTACAGAAGAAATATTGAAGAACTTTGTCATTTCAAAGAGTTATTAGGATGCAAAAAAGATAATAAACACTATAAAATACAAACTTGATACATTGTCTTCTTCAAATTAAAAATACATGCTTTGTGAAAGACAACATAAAGAAAATGAAAATGCTAGCCAACATTTGGTAGAAACTATTTGCAATATGTATTTCTAATGAGTACATGTACATACATAAAGAGCTGTTGTAAGTCAGCAATAAAACAGGAAGGCACCATTTCTTATTTAAAAGTCAAATTTTTCTAAAAAAATAGACAATGATAAACATGGGAATGATCTGAAGCAAACTGAACTATACAAAATGAGAATGTAGAGTGTTAATACTTTGAAAAGTTGTTTACAAATTTTGTGTAATTTTTAATATTCCCTGTATTCAGCATTCCTCTTACTAGGTATTTATTCAAGCAACTGAAAATTTATATATACAAGATTTTTGAAAATATGTTCACATAAGTATTATTCATAAGAAGTCTAGTTTAGTTGAATAGTAGAATGTTCATTGACAAAAAACAAATGAATCTTGGTATAGTAACATCACAGAGTATTATTGAGCATGAAAAAGGAATAAACTACTCATGTATGCACTAACATAGATGAATTTCAAAAACATTGGTGGTATTATTTATATGAAATTCAAAAAATCGGGCAGAATATAGGCAAATATAATCCATTTTCTGTTATCAACTAGAAGGTGTTTGACTCTGGAAACAGTAGGCTATGGGAATTCCTGAATGTGAAATATGAAAACTAAAAAGAAAAAATTGTTCTATACCTTGCCTTGTGTGGTGGTTACATAAGGTATATAATTGTCAAAATTCATCAAAGTGAATCCTTAAGATCTGAGAATTTTAATGTATATGAAATATGACTGAAGGTTAATAAGCGTAATTAAATTAGAATTATGTATATCATTTATATATGAATGTGTATGTATGTGTGTTTGTGTATATATATACATATATATGTATATATATATATATATATATATATATGATTGCAAAAATAATATACTCTCTTTAAAATACATGTGCAATGCTTACCATGATTGACCAGAGACAGTGAGCCTCCAAATATCATTAAGTGTTAAAATCACACAATTTGTTTTCTTTTTTTTCTGCTCATCAACAGATATACTTTATTTAAGATGGGAAAAGGTTAATAGTTTACAAAGTAAAGATATTTGTCTTTTAATTGTCTTTTTTTCATTTTAATTTGTTATATATGACAATAGATATGCATTACAATTCATATTACGCATATAGAGAAAAAGTTTTCATATATCTGGTTGTACACAAAGTAAAGTCACATCCCCCATGTCTTCATACATGTACTTAGGGTATTGATAACCATTGCATCCCACCGTCTTTCTTACCGCTATACCCTCTCCCTTCCCCTCTCTCCCTCCCCTTTCCCTTTTGCCCAATGTGTGTATTCTTTGCAAGCTATCATAACATTTTTGGGGAGTTTTCACTTTTTGTCCACATTTGCCCAGGATCTAGTATTATGTACTATCCCCTCTCTGACTGATTCCATGAAAATACAGAATACGACACTGTCTCTCACATTTTGGAAGATGATTTTGATGTTACATGAAGACTATTTTTAGGAGTTGCCCACTGTCAGAGATGTCTATTGTTCCGTAGTGCATTTGCCAGTGGTTTGGGCTTAAGTCCTTATGCCAGTAATGATTTTTATCCATTTCTATGGGTCTGTGTGCAGATTAGTGAATGTCATCAATTCTGTTCCACATCTTGCTGTGATTCATAAGTGGGTGAAGACTAGTATATATCCACAAACTCATAAAAGACTGAAAA